ACATTTTCAGAGTGGCATTGAACCATACTCAAGATCCCATCATTCGCAAAGTTCAAGTCAGATTGAACAACGATAATTATCCCAATCAACCTTTGACAATTGATCCGTCCAAAAAAGATTACAACGAATTGTACAGAAACTATAAAAACATGTGCGAATTGTTTGGAAATACGCCTCAGTTTGAATACACAGATTTTTCACTCAATCATCCAATCTTTTGTTTCGATCTGTCAGCTCATCAAGAAGATCTTTTCAAAACAGGGGTAAACATAAATATTCACATCGATAAAACACAAGGAGATGTGACCGGCTACTGTTTATTGCTGGAAGAAGCAAAACATTTGATTAAAATATCAGATAGAAGAATGATAATAATTGAATAAAAAAACACCCTTTAAAAATGAAACCAGAAACTTTAGTTATGAAAATAATAGAAGCTATGGAAACGAAATCGCCGACTCTAATAACTTACAGCGGTAAAAAAGTGCATATAACCCAAAAGATTATCGATAAATACAAACATTGCAAAGTCAGAGACGATATAGACTTGGAAAGAATTGATGAGAATTTAACTAAAAAAGGTGGATTTTTACCTTTCTTACCTTTAATCTTTGCTGGTTTAGCTGCAGTCGGTGCAACTGCTGGTGGAGCTGCTGGGATAGCCAAAGCTGTCAACGATAAGAAAGCTGAAGACGCTGCAAACGCCGAAGCACGGAGGAGGTTCGGGAGTAGGAGATATATTAGGGACGGTTAAAGAATTCGGACAAAGATTTGGCGAAGAAACCAAGAAAACCGTTAAAGAGGGATTAAGCAAATTAATAGATAAAATCGACACTGGAGAAGTGAAGGTCAAACACAAGGGCAACGCCATATTTTTTAAAAACATACGTTCGGGCGAGGGAATCTTCCTTTCAAAGTATAAAGGCAACGGGGTGATTTTTGGTACGAAAATGTAATAAATAAAAATGGGCAAGAAATTTAAACATTCGGACATATTTCCTAGTAACCCAATGCTCATGTGTATTTGCGGTAGTTCAGGTTCTGGGAAAACTCATCTCACTTTTAACATGTTGACAACACCAAACCTTTTAGATTTCGATTCTCTGTATATCTACACAACAACACCAGAGCAATCGTATTATCAATTCCTCAAAGCGTTAGAATATTTACCAAAGAAAGATGTTCAAGACATATTTCAATATTACGAAGAAAACGAAGAAGAAGTGGAAATAAAAGATATCATAGAAAACTTCATTAAATCAAAGAATCCATCTTTCAATCCAACGGATATAAAAGTTTTTCTTACGAAAAATGTTAATGATCTAGACTTGTCTAATATTGATAGCAATCGAAAGAACTTAATATTGTTTGACGACTGCGTAGCGCAAAGAAATCAAACTGTTCAACAAGAATTCTTCACCAAAGGAAGACATCACAACTGTCACTGCATATACCAATCCCAATCTTTTTACGGGATGGATTCTATGTTCATTAGAAAAAATGCAAATTGTTTTTTTTATTATTTGAATTAAATGATAAAGATTTATCTCAAATCATTCAGTCTATAAATCACGGAATGGATAGAGATACATTTAAAAAGGTTTGTAAAGCTCAATGGAGAAACACAGATGATCATGGATATGTATTTGTAAATACTAGAAAACCTGCGGGAGAAAGAGTTATGATCGATATATGTTAATTTTATTTTTTTAAAAATGACGGATTGGAATAATTTTTTAAAAAGAAATAGAGAATATATCAAAGCTAAGAATAAAATAAAGACCCAAGTTGAAAATAACAGATTACAACAACTCGGATTAACGGAAAATCTTCAGACTCTATTTCAACCCATATTAAAAAGTCAAGAAGATATTAAAAAGAGATTCGCTATAGAACTCACGCCTCGTATAGAACCCACACCTCATCACCCCAAAGCGATTGAATATAGTGGTGTTATAATTAGGACAGTAGATGATGTAAAACGTCTTTTTTCAAACCCTAGCCCAGAATTACCAAAAAGCATTTCACCAATCATTGATGAAGCGGGTTTGTTGTTCAATGGTTTTAGAATAAGATTTAGGACAAATACCCCCGAATTTATAATCGATACAAAAGATTACATATACAAATTAACGAGAGGGTTAATAGATTTAATGAATGGCGAGGATGTTGAAATTGCCGATTACAAGGATTTAGTAGCATACTCAAAATTTCTACATGCGATCAGAAAGTCAGGACCCGAAACAAGAAGATTGAAAGAAGTATATATAACAAAAGTTATTGAGCAAGATGAAGAGGAGGTAGATGATTATACAGAAGAGTATCCACCAATCATACAAGAAATAGACGAATTCGATGATATGGTGGCATCTGGACAAGGTATAACGTTTTTATCCGACGACAATAAAGAATTGCTTAATAGATTAGAAATAATATTAGCGGCCATGAAAGAAGGTCATCGATCGGACAGACAATACAACGAAGTCAATGGCATATTAAAACGGCTTTTGGAGAAAAAAATCATCACTAAAAAGACTATATAAACGTCATTAAAAATGTCCAATAAAGAACAATTGTTCGTTATCACCTCGAATAAACCAGACATCAAATTGTCTCTAGACTACGAGTATGAAATCGATCGCAATAAACAGTACGAACTGGGATTAAAGTATTTCTCCGTTTACAATTCCATTAGAAACATCAACGAAAAAAACAATCAACTAAAAATATCGACGGAAAACGGAGTTACGTTCGAAACCATAAGCTTACTACCGGGAAGCTACGAATACGTAGCCATCAACGAATACCTATCCGAATACGCAGGAAGCGTGAACGGTAAAAACAATATCGAATTCGAAGGTAATTTGAATCTGAACAAAATGAAACTGATCTTGAGAAATAACAGTCAAGTCGATTTCAACGTAGAAAATTCGTTGAATGCGTTACTAGGGTTCGATAAACGAATATACGCGCAATCGACATTGGCGCCGCACAAGGCCAACATCGAGAACGACATCGACGTGATCAACATTCACTGTAATTTGATCAACGGTGGATTTTTCAACAAGCACAAACGCCAAATCATATACAGCATACCGACTTTTACTGTGCCGATCGGATACAGAATTATAGAGAAACCGTTTCAAACGACCTATTTACCAGTCAATTCTTTCATGATCAAAGATATAAATCTGGAAATCAAAGACGGTAAAAACAGGTTCATAGACTTTGGCAACGAAGAAATTGTCATTCAACTTCATTTAAAACAATCTTCATTCTCTTCTTGAATAGTAAGATAATCGAAATTATCAAATTCATAGTTTTCATCAAAACTATACTCATCTTTGTCGTTGTAAGGATACATAATTCCTTCACTGTTTGGTGGTTTTCTTTTAACATTATTCAAATAACTTCTAAAAACTTTAGTTTGTTTATCATTTGGAATAACTACTCCATTGGTGAAACTTTTTTCCCATGGTTTATTAAATTCGTTCGACACATCATGTCCGCTTGCTAACTGAACGTAATCTTCTACACTTATCTTATCATTAGAATAACCTTTAAATGTTTTCTTTTCTTTGTATGTTGTATTTGACTTTTGGTGCTAAATATAAACCAAATACGTCACCGTAATCGTTTTTACCTTTGCAATAGTCTTTTTCGGAGACCAAACCAGCTCTGTTTAGTTTTTTCCAATTGTTGGATGAAATGTACAAACTATCTGTGTCGGTATAGTATATTTCGGGTTTATAAAATCTATTTATGACGTGAATGAAATTGTTCATTATTTTTTTACTGTGAGATAAAACGAATGATCCTAAATGACTAGGTGTTAGTCGTGTAGATTTACTATCTTCGGTAGTAATCTCTTTTTCTTCTATTTCTGTTTCAACAATATATTGAGTATCATTAATTTTCTCATAGGTTTTAACACGTGAATCAAAGTTGGCCTGTAAAGTTGCTTCATTCCATAAATGTCTAGTTGTGAATATGTCTTTCTGAATTGATTTACCATACAAGGAATTACCCAATAATTTCATGCAATTACTACCCACGATATTACCTTCTCGTTTATATTTATTTCTTAGATCTCTCAAAATTAAAATATAATCTCTATAGGGTGGAGTTTTAAAATTTTCTTCGTAAACTATACCATCTAATATTCTAATAATTCGTCCACCGGCTTTCACTATTTCTTGAATATCGACCGATGTTAAAACGTCGTGACAGAAACCATTTCTGAACCTGATTTTAGTACCAGTTTCCTTTTTACCTCCTTTATTCGTGAAAGTGATTTTATCTTTAGCTGGTATCGGTTGGAAGAACATGTTTTTGGGATAGTCAAACCACACTGTTAAAATAGCTGTTCTAGGTCTGAATTTTTGTTTATTGAAGAGTTTTACAAATTCTTTTTCTTCTTCTGGTAGAAACGGTCTTCCACTTTCCGCTCTCGGATATTCACTGTCTAAATCCGACATGGCGGAAGCGTATAAACCGTTAGTATCAAATGCCATTAGTTTAGTACATTCTATTTTTTTAAGTCTCGAATGAACCTCCGTTTTGTCTTTTGTGCTTGCGCTGTATTCTTTGAATAAATCAATTATGTTATTACTTTCGGTTTGTGAAATATATTCCTTTAATACGTTACAAATTTCATCCATTTTATTCGTTTCAAATGATTTGCCGAAACTCATCCTCCTTTAATAGATCGTCTGATAAAATTTCTTATAAAAGGATTAGTGTGCGAATAAACTTTTTCTATATTTCCTTTTTCGGTATGTTTCGCAACCATTCTAGTAGTTTCATACCATTCTTCTTCCACCATTTCTTTATCGTAATGATATAAATAATACCAACCCTTTAAAGATAAAGATGGAGCCGTTAGATTATTGGACATATTCTGGTTTACAACTTCTTTCGTGACTTGGTTGTATTTTATCAAACAAGCTCCCAAACAGAGAGTGTCTCTCTTGGCGTAAGGTTCCCATTCGTGTCTCAATTCCTCCCAGTTGTCTTGCGTGTATTTAGCGATATCTACGTCGGCAATCTTTCTCAAATTCGCGGGGAGATTGGAAGAATTTCCCCATGCAGCCAAACCAGAGGATTCGTGTTGATAGGAACACGTGAAATTAATATGTTGTAAATAATTACCCCTTATTTCTTTCTGTCTTTTCCATTTTTTCTGTAAATCTTCATCTGTGTATGGATTAGATAAAGGAAAAGATAGAATTCCTCTGGGTGTTTTTAAAGGGCAATGCGTTAGTTTTTTTGTATTTTTAAGCACGATCCAGTTGTCGAAACCACTGCCGTTATGAGAAATTAATATCAATCTCTTTCTATCATATTGACCTAAATATTTCAACATTTGATCTATACAATCTGTACCTACAAATAGTTCTACTACATTCATTAGTTTATCATAAAATTCTTCTGGAACATTATCAGTAGGATTTATATTTGGAAAGATATTTTTTATCGTTTCTAACTTTTTTCTTAGTTTTTCTAAATTAATTAAAGTTCAGGCATAAGGAATTGCTCTTCGACTGTTTTTTTCTGAATACGTTTCGCAATCCCAAGCGAATAACGCATCATCACTCATACTTGAAAGCACGTTTAGTTTGAGGGGTGAAACCTGTGTTACTGCGTTATCGTCTCTACACGTTTTCCACACCTGTTCGTAATTGTCTTCTATTTCTTGAATTCCCAAACTTTTTTGCCTTCTTCTAATCAGACAGAAATGCGAGTTGTGTAAGTAAAAAACCCAATCTAATTCATCGTGAACGTCTCTGGGATGAAAATGTCTGTTTTTGGGATTATAAATTTGAAACGAAGTGTTAAATTTCTTGTTGAATTCCTTCATTCTAGCACAAGTCATCACTCCTTTTCTATTTGCTTTTGAAAACCCGTTGATGTATTCTTGAAATTTACACGTTAAATCTTTGTTCAAAACACGATTGACGCATTTGATAAAACAGTGACCATCTGCAGGTATGTAACAATTTTCGCCTTCGTATTCATTTATCTTTTTAAGTAGATCAGTTCCTCCTCTACCAACTCTCGACCTTTTGATTTCTTGGAAATTGTCTTTCATTAAAATTATTTTTCCTGTAAAATACCAATCGGAAGCATCGGATTTTTTGTCCATATTTGAAAAGATATTGTGAAAGGTTTTGGCATTGAAACCGAGAAGTGACATGTATTGTCTGTGATTCCCTTCCTCGACTATCTCTCCATCTATTTTAATTTGTCCTTTGAATGTTTTAAATTTATCAGAGATAGCCTTGATAACATCGGAAAATAGGGCGTTTTCTATCAATGTTTCATCGTGTTCGATTTTATTCATATTTTTTTAAGTATATATTTTTGATTATTTCTTTATTTTGACCGCTGATATTTCTGTATGGAATTTGTCCAAAATTTCATTGAATTCTTTTAATTCTTCAACTGTTATGTTCTTGTCTTCTCTCGATCTTTCGAAAAGGATGTACAATTGATTAAGATACATATTAAAGATATCCGTTTTCTTTTTATAATGAGCTTTCTTTTTGCTCGTGAAACCTAAAGTGATGAGACCGCAAGAGGTCGTTTGAACGGCTGTTAATGCAGCCAATACGGTTGGGACGATGACCGGAAGCATTAATCCACCAGTCACGGCCGTTGCCACCGTTACTCCTACCGTTAGAACTGTGCTCGCTGTTTTGAAAAAAGAATCGATTCTACTCCATGTTTTCCTGCATGTATTGTACTGTCTCAACTTTATTTTCAACTCTTCTTGTTTGTCTATCAGGTATTGTTGTCTGCTTTCGAGTTCCATTTTTTAAGTCGTTAAATTAAGTGAATTTCCGATAAATGGAACTACGGAATATCGTATAGAACGTACTTGTTTGGCCTAGCATTATTATATTCGCGGGTATAAAAGTAACAACATTA